GCCTCACCGTTGTCGCTTGTGTGGAAGCACAGCATCTCCCCGATTCCGTCCTGTCGGCTGTGACGCCAGGATCAGAAGAAGGGCTCTTGTCCCTTCTCCCCACCTTCTCCACCAGAAAGCTGTCACACCGATCCACAATATAGGCTCAGAATCAGTTTCTTGTCAGGGCAAACAGGTTTATTTACAATTGAATGCATGGATCCATGGGTGCCTAAAATAGGAACACCTCATGTTAATTTCCATAGGGTTATATAGAATACACAAAAGGGCAGTGAATATAATACACAGAAAGGTGATTGGATACTTTGATATGGATAGAAAAGTGATTGGATACATGTCACAGCACCAAAAAGAAAAGTTACATTTCACTCTAATTAGATGCCTTTTGACAAGCCTTCTAAAATAAAGTTACCTTGAACAGGCTGCCAAGTTCCTTAAACAAAAAAAGGTTACATGTGTGAACTTACACGGTTAGGGAGGCACTTTAGCAAGCCTATAAAACACAGAGATTACACTTTGACAGTTACCCACTAATGGAGTGGGGTCATCTGGTCTTCACCACCCGACACCGAGGCCTCTTTTGATGTGTTTATGGCAAGGCAGTGAGGTGGGACCGTAAGAATTGCTTTTGAGTACAGAGGCAGGACTTTGAAGCTGCAAGGTTGCCTTGTGTAGTTTCTCAGGTTAAGTGTGGGCACCGGCCTCCTTGCCTGGCACAGACAACATGTTCTTTCCAGCATCAGGCAAAATCCTTTTTATTTTCCCACTATTTTAATGTTTAATTGATTTTAACTGGGGTTTTAGTGGATTGTCAGATGCTGAGGGGTTTGCTTTATTCTGCTCATTTTTCATATGCCAGGAGTTAGAAAAGCTTTAGCTGCTGGGGCGATGCTGGGGCGACGTGGCTCGCGTGCCGACAGAGGGCTCTGCGTACCCACTGCAGCACGCGTGCCATCGCTTGGCCACCCCTGGACTAGACGGGCAAGAGAGCAGGGGATTCTTCTGAACGAGGCCGTGCGGATGCCTGAGTGCCTCTGCTCCCATGGCCAAAGGAGGGGCCAGACCTCAGCGGCGGGGGCTGAAAGGTGCCCCACGGCTTGAGGTTCCTGCTACCCCAGCACAACAGTAGCACCCTGTTCCCCTTGCCCGAGACTGAGCGCCCAGGCCTGAGTGCCCGGTGCCCTTTGGGAGGTCGGGACCCACATCACACAGGGAGGGGCGGCCCTGGGGCTGCCTGTGCAGAGAACGCCTCTTGCGCATTCAAAAAGACTTCCTCAAGTGGCTTTTGGCCTGGAGGACCGTTTGGAGAAGCGGTCCAGCCGGCCCCTCGTCCAGGGGCCTCTGCAGAGCTCAAGTGGCTGAGCTTCCTGAAAAGGCCTCCTGTCCATCCAGTCTCTCTTGGGCAGCCCTTCTGGGAGGTCGTGTCAGAAATCTATGATCTGCCCATCGGAAAAACAGTGCGGACACAATACAGGGATCCATGGCAAGTTCTTTTCAACTTGCATCTGCACCAGTTTTTATCCCACTGGGTTTGGCAGAGGTAACACTTATACATTCATTTATTTACTTTAAAATAACTTTTATCTGAAACTATAATCCTAAAAAACCACTAAAAAAACCATCCATCATCAAAAACATCGAGCCTGCTGGGTCAGCCCGCAGACCCCTCTTTTTGCATTTATGACGACTTAAAAACATTTAAATCTGTGTGAAGTCCCCTTTCTCTAGCCAATAATAAAAAGAGTACCAAGTTTGATAGAAGTCAGAGTCCTCCTTCTCCTTCAGTGATAAAGTCAATTTATCCATTTCTGCACAGTCCAGGATCTTTAGTAGAATCAGTTGGTCGGTGGGTAGTTGTTCACTTTTCCAGTGTTGAGTAAATGCAATCCTCGCCGCAGTGATTCAATGTAAAATCAAATACATTTCTTGTTTACTAATGTCCTCCGGTATAATGCCTAATAAAAAAGCTTCAGGTTTAAAAGCTGAAGGTTTTTGTCACATTTCCTCAAGCCATTTATGTATTTTCACTTTATCGCAAGTCCACCACATATGATAAAAAGTACCCAATTTATGTTTACATTTCCAACATCAATTTGACATATTCGGAAACATCTTAGGTAGTCTATTTGGTGACAGATACCATCTATAAAACATTTTATACAAGT